TACTATTATGTCGTTAGTTTATTTATTTGTAAAATATATATATATATTTTTTTTTTTTAAATCCTTACAGGTTTTACTGAGACGCAGACTAACCATATGACGGTTCCTTTGTTGGATTAATTGCTGTAATAAGCATATTTCAAAGAACCCACCTCGCCCCCATTCTGTCCCAGTTTGCATTCAGACAGTTTCACTATGAAGCGACTCGTGAAGAAAATTATCAATATCGAATTGAACGGGTAAAATAAGTCGGTGGAAACACTTGCGACTTCGGGTATTATAATGATTATGTAGAAAATTAATCAAATTAATGTTTTTTTTCCCTTCTGTTTTCGTTGATTGAAATGTTTTATGCGCTAGGCTACTGTACAGAAATGTGTCTTAAAATATAGAGGGCGACAAAGTGTTTCAATGGAAGGTTTGAAGTGTGAGAATTCCTTTTTTTATGTTTCATCAGCTGTCCATAGAGCAACATTTACTAGAGCCTGATGGTGCTACATTTTAAATTATGTTTTTATGTGAAGACTTCTTTAGCAATAAATTCACCTAGGCAACAAAAAATAGGAACTTACATACTATATAGGTCGTTTAAAGCTGTAATTTCTCCATGGTACATTGTAAAGATCAGCGAATTCTACAGATAAGGCCACATTTTCTCAGAATTTAACAAATATCACAACAGATTAGTCATCAAAGGGGGTAAAGGGAAAAGAAAAACAAAAACAAGCTGCATTTCCAGCCCCTTTTACAACCAAACACTGCAAACTGTACCACAGTCAGGAACTGTTCATATCCCCGTTGAATTCTTTAGAAGTAAATTGAGTGAGTTCACAGCGGGGGTTCTCACTTTGGAAACTTATTGCTGTCATAAAATTACTTTTGGAAAGCTTTGTATTTTTACTGCAAAGAAAACTCACAAAAAACAGACCCGAAACGACCAGCGTCTGTTCCTGATTATAAGTTTAGATAGTCCACAAACCACAAAAATACACACTGATCCCCATACAGGCAACCAGACCTGAGTCAGAATGCAATGGCAAGATTGCTGTAGAGATTACATTTTCACTGTTACAACTTATGAGTTATTAATAATTTAAATAATAATAG